CCCTTTTAAGGCATTAAAAAAAAAAAACCAACCCAACATTATTTTCTGTTACATTTTTCAATTAATGAAGTTCATAAAATGAACATCAAGAAACTGACTCGTCAGTTGGTACAACTTTCGTTCTCAACACCATCAGTCTGACATTTTTCATAAGCGCTGAACACAGTTAAAACGTACTGTGAAAAAAAAAAACTTGCTAAATTACAGGGAACTTTGTGGGAAATAAAACCTTTTCAGAATTAAAACCAAATCAGAACTCATGATTTTAGTTTAATGCTAAGAATTTTCACTGAATAAAGTAAAGTACTACAGTTTGATTTGGCATTCTAATAGAGTGGAGATGATCTCTTATTCTGTAGGGCTGTTGCAGGATTAGAGGAAATGTACATAAAGCACCTAGCACAATGCCTGACACACGGCACTCAATAAACACCACCTATCATGATGTGTCCAATCCATTACTCTTAGGAGCTTTGCTTTCAGAACGATAATTACTGTACAAGTGCATTTCTTCATCTTATTACTATAAAAATGTATGAAAATGAACTTCTTTCTCAGATTGATTTGCCATGTAAAATTAAAAAGAAAACAGCATCACTTTGAGCATGTAAAAGATTTTTTGTGAAATTAACATCTAAAGCAACACACTATATCAAAATGGATTAATTGAATATATTCACAGATCAGTAATATCTCTATAACAATTTTGTCAAAAGGCTAGTCAATTGAATGAAACATACCCAACAGTACACCTACTGTCTGCAATGTGCTGTACTATGGTATTGGGATTAAGGGTGAAAATCAATTTAGACCAGCATTAAAAGGAACAAATAGAACAGAGAAGAAAGAAAATATCAGAATGCATCATCAAAGGCAATAAGATTATGTGATGTTATGAAAGCTTTGTTTCAATTATAAATAAGCCTACATACATGTGTACATTAGGTCATGATATAAATATATATCTTGGTGTGGATCACAGTCAAAAGTTTGCAAACATTGCTTTATTAGGATCTTTGGGTCACATGAAGCTGTATAAGATACAATCACCATCCTCAAACACCTAACTTACTGAAGTATGACAAATACATAGCTAAGTGTAAACAAAATCCCATGGATATTCAAAGATGGAAGGTAGCATATCTATCTGTTTTGGAGGTCAGGGAAGGCGGGTGAGATGAATCATGGAAGATGGGTTGAGCTTTGACAGGCAGAGGAGGGAGAGGGTTTAGGTAGCGACATGTGAGCTACCTTCAGGGGACACTCATGTATAAGGATTGAAGTAAGGCTAGGAAGGTAGTTGAAATCATACTAAGAAATCCAGACCAATGAGGTTGTCCTTTATTTGATAAAGGCAGGAGAAAAGGAGAAAGCAAGATGCATAAAACTCAAGGAAGTTTAAGTTAGCAAAGGCTTACAGGATCGAACATTGCACAACTGTTAGTCAGCCATAAGGGTGGCTGGAATAATTGTGACAGTCTCGATCAATGGTTCCCAACTACCTGAGAGTGGAGGTTGGGATTGGAGTGCATATAGGTATCAGATGATATGGCATAAAATATGTTTTAAAAAAGCACAATTATTATGCTTGTTTTCACAATAAGGAAGTGTCACTACATGAGATTTTTTTGCAGAAAGTGTCATTATGTGAAATTCCCTTGGGGGTAGGGACATGCACCCCATTTTAAAAGTTGACACACCCAAATCTCCAAGGTCTCTTCTAGTTCTTATTTTGAATGACTTGATTTTATGGAAAAGTAAACAAAGGCTGACCAGTGGCAGAGCTGCAACCAGACCCTGAGCCTTTTAAATTCTAGGATAGAATTCATTCCAAGGGAGCCTGGGTGGCTCAGTCAGTTGAGCGTCATCCGACTTCAGCTCACGTCATGATCTATCTCACAGTTCGTGGGTTCGAGCCTGCATCAGGCACTGTGCTGACAGCTGAGAGCCTGGAGCCTGCTTTGGATTCTGTGTCTCCCTCTCTCTCTGCCCCTCCCAGGCTCATGCTCTGTCTCTCAAAAATAACTATTAAAAAAAAAAGAATTCATTTCATTGTACCATTTTATCTGTAATGGTTTCCATTTTACAAATGGAACAGTTTAGGCAAGGAGAGATATAGCTGGAAAAACTCACTAGGTTGGATCCCGATATTCATTCCCTATTCTGCTGCTTTCTGTCAAGAGACTCCTGGGCTGATAAGGTATTGCAGGAAACAGGAATTTGTAAAATAAGCAGCCCTTTTACCGTAGTCCCTTTTTGGGGGCACATACACTTCTGACCACACTACACTCCAAATCATGACCATATATAACTACAGGGATTCAAAAAGATAGAATACCAAAGCAAGGCACAAAAGCCACATTCTAAGACCTCCTATCTATCAACCTTCTGTCATATATACATGTACAGGTTTTAAAAAATAGGGTTGGTTTCTAATTTCCTATTGGTTCATCAATGTCTTGACTTTTTCCCACTCATTATTTAATTGTTCTATGTCCTTGAGTCTTCCCCAGGTACACATTTCTCCTCTTTATGAAAATGAAAGAGCATTTTTCTTCAGTCGTGTTTTCATCGTTACAACTTTTGAGAACAATTTCATGAGAGATGTTTTGGGAGCTGTTTTCCAGAATGTATTATATTCGTGGTCTTCCCCCTGGTACGATGAATAAATGAATTTGCCTAGGGAGTGGCAAAACTGGCATTTCTGGTTTTGGTTAGAAAAGATAAACTTTGCATTTATGGAGGATGCAGGAATAGACTTCAAGCAGGCTTCAAGTTTAGGAGAGGAACGGAATCGAAGTGACTTGTTACCAGTTACTTATGTCTAGTGAGTCCCCTGAGCATTTGGGAGGGACAGGCGGTGGCAGAGTTAATAAGCCCTTCCTGAGAAAGGAAAAGAGAGTTTCTCAAGTCCTGAATGGGAACTCACCCTTATGGTGGGTACAAATGAGAGCTGGACCAGGG